GTACCACATATATAGCTAGCATAACACCAAGCATAACTAACTATCATACCACATATCTCTACAACAACAAGTATACCATATATCTCTACAACAACACATATACCACATATCACAAAATGGGTCGACCTTGGTGCCTTAGACCCATTGGTATGGTGAGAAGACTCACCTCTTAAATGTTGAACTGACAAGCTAAGATCAGATATATCCCACGCACTGCTCCAACTCAACTGCCTATAATCATCATGTGATTAACTTGTCAAAATCCCTAAATACCATAATTACCCTCGAAGTCAACCCTGGTCAAAGTCAAGGTCAACGGTCAAGGTCAACAGTCCATGTTGACCTCAACTCGTCGAGTGCATCCAGCAACTCGTCGAGTTAACTGAATAACTTGTCAACTCGCCGAGTTACCTATGTAACTCGTCGAGTTCCTCCTGTATTGTCACACCCCAAAACTAGAATGGCGGAAACGTTCTGGGGTAGAGGACGTCATGTGTAGCATCACAACCAATGAATAATAGCAATCATAGCAACACAACCATTAAAGTGAATACTTAAATGAAAATGATTACACCAGTTTGGAACTTTGTCTGAAACTTGTTTGAATTACATCAAATAGTTTGTAAAATATAAACATAAAACTCTTATTGCTCCAGCTTCTCAAAAATCCAGCAAGTACCTGTCTACTGATTTCCTGAGAATACAAGCAGTTTTAAAATATCAGCATAAAGCTGGTGAGTTCATAAGTGGTATTTTGTAATGAAAGCTTGTTGATGAGTTCGTAAAGGTATTCGTATAGTTTCAAGAAAATCCGATATTTTCTTTAGTGAAAATGTAGTGTTTTCAAATCCTGTATAAAACCATGAATGTTCATTACTGAAAATTATAGTAATATGCGAAAATAATACTTCATGTGACTAGCTAATGCTAATCATGATGTATAAGTATTTCGTATGTGAAACCATTGTATGAGCGATTCTGTTTGAAAACTCTGGGAATTCTCCAGTTGTAGTGTGTATTAGTTCTATTTAGCAAAATAAAACCGTTGAAGAATGACAGTTTGTAAACTAAGAGTGATTTATACATATTGTGAGTCGTATAACCATACTTGATATGACTAGAGACCTTTCCAACGTTCTTCAGGCGTCGAGTTAAATGACATTTGTTCACGCCAGGCGTGCCCGCCTAACTGTAGCTAGCAGTTCAGGTGTGGGATTGTCAGTCCCGAATAGATCTATTCACAAATCTCACGCTCTCCCTCCAGGAGACTCTGGTTATACTATGATATGATTTATCCCTGTACACCTAAGGGTACAATATTGAAGTAGCGCCTCACAGTATCGTACAATCTAGTTTACATGTAGTGTAGTAGCGTTCTACCATAGTGAAAATACGTATGTATACCGTATGTAGTGATAATTACAGTTATGAATACCATGATAAAGTAGTGATGTAAACTGTAAACTATTTCTGTCTTAGTGCATATGTTTAGTAGTGAAAGTTTCTGTACTTGTTATGTTTAGAAAATCCCAAACTATACCTATTATAGTTTGCATGTATAACGTAGTGAATAGCGAGTCCGGAAAACTATGCAATTTTAGTGAAAATGTCCCTTATGCTCAACACAGTACAAAAGGGTTAAAGTATGAGAATTGCATGAGTTTTATATTATTGAAAGCATTTATGTTTAGCTTGTATTCCCCCCTGAAAACATTAAAAACATGGAAAATGTAGGGGTATGAACTCACCTGTAGTGAGTGGTTCTGACGTGTGGTTGGAAGAGGAGTGCAGAGTGTCAGGTGTAACCTTGAGAACACAATGATCCTAATAGACACATATAGACATGTATGTGTATGAATTTAGTGTATAGACGACTAAATAAGGAGGGTAACACCCTTATTGGCTGGGAAACTCTAAGATTTATGGGATACAATCACATATGATTGCATAACTAGGGTATATGGCCACCCTATCGAGTTTACGGTCAAAGAGGTATGACCATTGGAGTTTACGGTCCAAGTGTTCACGGTCTTAGTGTTTACGGCCCTTGTGTTTATGGTCTTAGTGTTTACAGTCCAATGACCTTACGGTCATGGAGTTCACGGTTCCATGGGTTCACGGTCATTGAAGGGTGTACGGTCCATGAGTTTACGATCATTGAAGGGTGTACGGTCTAAGGAGATTCAACCGTAAACTCATCAATCTTGCACAAATGATGGTTTTTCAAGGGCTTCATTCAAAGGCATCGGATTCTAGGGACCATGCTTAGCCTTAGGAAGGGTAAAGGCTATAAGAACACCCTTTATAAGGGTTTACGGTCTATGAAGATTCATAGGACCGTAAACTCTTGTGTTCAAGCAAAGAGTGGTGATCTTAAGTCCAAAATAAAGGATTTTAACTCGATTCATGAAGGGGAAAATGATAGTTACGGTTTTTAAAGGCAAAGAAGGTGTTTTCGGTCCAAAACACAACTGTGTTCTTGAGGATATCTTGAGCAAACTCGAAAATTGTAGAGAGAGAGAAATCGGCTCCTATGCTTGAAAAGTGAAAAGAATGGCTGAAATGATCAACCATTATATATATATCTATATAGGGAGAAGTTTATGGTTACCCTGACCGTAAACTCAAGGTCTCGACCGTAAACTCCTTTTTGGGGAGGTTTACGGTTGCTAGGTAGTTTAGAACTTAAACTGACACTTACAAATACTAATTCCTTTGATTCACTAGAGTTAGAATACTCAAAACAGGTTCCAAACAGTGATAACTGGAAGCAAAATGAGTCTAACACTAATAAATTTGAATGTTTACACAAGTTAGAAATTTCGGGTTGTCACATGTATCCATTCCACTGAATCCCGAGTCAACTCGCGGAGTCACCTAAGTGACTCGTCGAGTTCATCAAATGTCTAGAAGACTAAAAGTTCATGCATATCAAAAATCTAATCCTTCACTGCACTCATTCAGGATCTCGAAAACGGGTAAACCCTACCCGACTCGTCGAGTCGACTATGGGACTCGACGAGTTCCTTCAGTCCTTTTTGTGTTCAGTCCTTTCCAGTGGGATCCAAGGTCCCAAACTTTAGATCCAACCTCCCCTAGTGCAGTTACCACATAAAGTTGCAAACTTTACGTGCATGCAAGGCCTCACAAGGCTAAAACACCAAAACTAAGCTTCCTACAAGGTTTTAGTGCATGGAAAGGGCCTAAGCTGGACAAAGTGAGCAACTTTATGTCATCTAAGACCTAGAGATGTCCAGATCTGGAATCATATCCTTGTGAGAAGTCCAAATCCAAGTATGACACCCTTTTGGCACCAAAAGTGACCATTTACTTCAAGAAAGGAGATCTAAGCAACTAAAGGTCAAGATAGCGACTTTATACCTCAATATGGTCGCCAATACTGAGTAGAAGTCGGATCTACTGCTTCCCTCTTTGCTCCTTCTTCTTCAAGCTCCAAAATCTTCACAATCACACCAAAGATCACTCTAAAAGGCTCTCTTTCTCTCTCTAGAAGGTGCAAGGCTCAAACTAGGGTTTCTCTGGTTGTAGGAACGGTAGAAGAGGCTGCAAATGAGCCATAAGTTCTTTAAATAGGGTGCAAACCTCTGAAAATTAGGGTTTCTCTTTACAATGCCTAATCGTCGAGTCGGGCCTTCCGACTCGTCGAGTAGATCTGAAGTCTCGCGTCCTCATAATAACATCTACTCGATGAGTTGGAGCTTCCCAACTCGCCGAGCCCAAGCACAAAACCCTAAAAACTTGAATAATTTAAATGATACCTGGAACAGGAACAAGTGTTACATTAGGCTATGTAATATTAATATAATCGATAGTCTATTTTTAAGAAAAAAAAGTAAGATAAATTATAGGAAGCAAGAAAGAGCCAAATTCATAAGGCCGAATTTGATACATTAGTGTAAGAAAAAAGGAACAAAAATATACATACAATTATCGTTGTTCATAAAGAAGATGGATAGGTATAACGAAAATGGGGGAAATCAAATCTACAAATTTAAAACTGACGACCTATGAAGCAATCATGCAACGATATAATAGATTAGTCGATTATGTCTTCTCAATTTTCAAGTCTTAACGGTTAAAATCCCGTTGCATATAAAATTTTATTAACCATTCTAGTCACTATAACATCCATGAAGAGAACTTTTTGAAAGTTGAAGTTGTTAAAGAATTATTTAAGGTAATCGTTGTCACAATAATTGTTGAATGATTTGACTACTTTGTGTACGGATAAAGAGATACTACACAAGATTGATCTTGCTATATATATATTTTTAGAACGGAAAAGAAAATCGATTTCCGTGGATTTAAACTCCTGACCATCAGATAGAAGGCACACGACACAACCACCAAACATTTTTTTTATCTTGAACTATTATTAATGATTTTGTATATAAAAGACTACAAAAAATATTTTCTTTAAATTAGTAGACGTTTGTGAATTATTTGGCTATGCTTATGTCTTTAAAAGGCCGTTCTATTTCCTCTCACAAACTCAAATTATATTTGGACCGCCCTGATTCGTTGATATTTTAAAATGCTATTCAAAATTTCTTTCTGAAACTGTATTACTAGTACATATCATTATCTTGTAGTTGTAGTTATCGAGAAGAGTCGTAAAGATTTAGCATAACTGTCTTTTGTGGACAAGATTATCATCAAGCGTTTGGAACTTGGCTTTTCCAATAATAAGAGAGTAATATATTGCAAATTGCCAAATTCTAATAACATTTGTTGTCCTTTTGCTTGGAGTTTATCATGTGCTATACTATATTATAATGATAAAAGCTAAATCCTCTAAAAGCATTTTCACAAAAATCCTTTCAAGTGACATGTGATAAGTCATATAAGTTGTTGGAACGTTTCAAGTGTTTTAGATAGTTTCAAACTTCTACAAAATATTATAAAATTTTCCATTATGAGAAATTAGCATTATTAACTAAAACAAAACACAAACTCCTTTTCTTCTCCAAACAGCAGTTTCAACTTCTTCTACAATTTTTGAACGAATGATCACCATCTACAAAAAGAAATAGAAACGTTTAAACAAACTGTTCTTGAGCATCAAGATCCAATGACTCACAACTTTGACATCGAATAATCCAATGCATCCACAAGGAAATCTACACATACATGAATACAATGTTAGAATTCATTCAGTAGATGAAAACATGTATTTTATATATATGTATACATATACGTATATGTATACACATATATGTGAAAGAATACCTGCATCATCTTTATTGAAGCACATAGGTGGTTTTATCCTGAAAACATTCCCATGTAATCCACCTTTTCCAACCAGAACCCCGAGCTCTTCATTCACAATAAATATAAAAATAATTATATCAGGGTCAAAATGGGTAATTCAACGTTTTCATACATAACATACCTCGTAGTTTTTCAAACAAAATGGCAGTTTCGCCCTTTGCTGGTGTCTTCTCTTTCCGATCAGTCACAAGCTCAATTCCCACCATCAATCCTCTCCCTCTCACATCTCCAATCACTAAACAACAACAACAACAACATTAACATCTTGTAAACCAAAATAAATAAGGAAATGTTTATAAAATATAAAGTTGAGGAACAAATTATTACAATCATGTTTTTGTTGAAGATCTTTCAATCTCCCAAACAAATGGGAGCCCACATCAGCACAATGTCTTTGGCGATTTTCTTTGTCAAGAACTCTAAGCACTGCAAGTCCTCCAGCTGAACACACAGGGTTCCCTCCAAAAGTGTTGAATTGTATTTTTTGAGACATTACTTGTGCTATTTCAGGAGTTGTAACCACAGCTCCTAAGGGTAATCCATTTCCAATTCCCTGGATCCACACATAAGGGCAATTTTGTAAAAATCCATGACTTTTTCTATTAAGTCTTTCTGAATTAGATAGATGATGTTCGTCTGGAGTAAGTGTTGTTGTATAAACAAAGACTGTTTCTTCTTTTGGATTGAATGAACAGTCTAAATATGAAAAAAGTTGACCGTTTTGCCCTTCTGTCTAGAACTGATGCTAAACTATAAAATTTAAATTGGAAATGACTACAAATCAAAGAAAAGCATATGTTTATGATAACATCATACTTTCACATTAATAATTTTCAATTTATGATAATAACAAAAATCATCCGCAATGGAATATGCCCAAACTCAACCAATTGGTTTTAAATAATTGGATTTAGTTTTTAATAGTTTGATTAAAGGGTAGGAACATAAAAAATGATGTCTTAATGGATAAAGACACCCTCGTCTCACTTACTCCTTTAAACCCATCTGTTTATATTAAGTGAAAATGAAACATCACTATATATCTATCCAGATTAAGTTCTATCCCCATTAAGTCCATTAAGTCAAAAAGAAATGTTTTCATGATTTAAAAGTTACCTTTGCCATGGTGACAATATCTGGAATTACATCTTGTGTTTGGAAACCCCAATAATCGCTTCCTGTTCTGCCAAATCCAGTTTGAACTTCATCAGCAATACAAACACCACCCGCTTTACGCACCATTTCATAAACCCGTTTCAAGTAACCCGGGGCCAATTCCACTGCTCCCCCAACTCCCTTCAATCAAGATTCCGATTCCATAGTTGTAATCAAATTTGACATAACATTAAACAACACAAACTGATGATATTTGGTTTTCATCCTAACCTGAATGGTTTCAGCTATAAAACCAGCAACTCTTCCTGAAGTTCCATGATCAATGTGATCTTGAACATCTTCAGCATATCGAATCCCATCTGACCCAAAGACCCCACGATAGGGGTTTGGATTCACAACATGATGAATTTCACCCTATACATAAATACAATGTGAAATTTGCAAAAAGATTGAAACTTTTTTCTTCAAGATTTAGGTTTTATGCATGCCTGTGGTATTGGGTACTTCCATGTGTTCAAAGCTGTTAATCCAATTGTTCCAGCACTTCCACCATGGTATGCATTTCTCAAGGCAATCATCCCAAGGTTTCCACTGTATAGTCTAGCCATTAACATTGCAAGCTCATTTGCTTCTGTCCCAGAATTTACAAAATACACAACCTGTTATTATGTACAGAGAAATGGTCTCTTTAGAAATCAGGCAATTGATAGATTATGTTTAGAATGAATGTATTTGAGAACAATGACCTTTAGATTTCCAGGCATCTTTTCTGCTAGACCTTCTGCAAAATCACCAATTGCATGGTGTAAGTATATAGTTGTAGCATGTTGAAGAAGCTTGTTTTGCTCTTCGATAGCTCTTAGAATTTCAGGATGACAGTGTCCACAAGAGACAGTTACTATTCCAGCAAATGCATCAAGATAACGCCTTCCACTTTCATCAAACAAATATTGCATCTTTCCTTCAACTATATTAAGCTGCAAGGATAATCCCATAGTGAAAAGGGTTAAACGTTCTTACGTTATCAAAGGTTTAGTGAATCAAGTACAAGAACACATTTGGGGTTTACAACAAGTCTAATTGGAAATGGCATTTACAAGAAGATACAAGACTTAAAATGTGTACTCTTTCAAAAGTAATCAAGATTTGGGCAAAAATATTGAAGGGTGTTCTTGGGGATTTTTTTCGATACAAAGTGTCAAGCACGAAGGTTTGCATGTGAATATGGACATATAATAGTGATAGAAATGATCATAAGCAATGAGAGGGAGAGAAGATTACTGGTTTCTGGTAGTAATGGAAGAGAGAAGGGCCAAGGTACTTCTTTCGCTTTTCGAATACTTCATCGGCTAATGGACCTTTGTACGGAACCGGCTGGAAATCAAAAGGAGGAAGCTCCGGCGGCTGCAATGACGAAAACCGGCGGAGGGAAGGAAGATTGGACTTCAGATTAGAAACCCACATCGCATTTGCGACATGATTGAGGGTTTTTCTGTTCATGAGGTTTCTCTGTACCCCCATTGATCGTTATCGCCTTATCGGCTATTCACAAGGACAGATCACTCGGGTTCTAAACTCTAGCAGCAAAACTGGCAATTTTGGGGGAAATTGTTGAGAAGAAAGAAAGGGTGGTGGAATCAGAGTTGTTAGTTTAAGGTATAAGACGCAAGATATGACATGGTGACTTGGAATGCCGTGGACGAAAGATTCTATCTTTCCATTGATTTACCAAATATTGAAATGAATAAGACAGTGAACAACTCCACTCACTGCTTTATGCACTAAAAACGACTAAACTCCAAAGAATTATTAATTTTTATTAAATGATTCATAAAAGCATCAAATATAATGTTTGATCTCTATAAACAGCTTTTAAAAAGATTACAAAAATCATAATGACAGCCCGGTTTATGCATGTTGGGTGTCGGCATCAATCGGTATGTCCAAGAACATGAATCATGAATCAGAGTAGGTCCCATGCTCCCATTACCTCACGCAGATGAATTGTATATCGTTTCATTCGTTTACATCCATGTAAGTGGAGATTAATCTTGGGTTGTGGGTAAATTATATTTTTATTGAAAAATATGGTTATTTGTTTTAAAAAGGTCATTCACTTTTTTTTTTTCTTTTTTTTTTTTCTTTTTTTTTTTTTACTTTAAGAGAATCAAATCCGGGTTTACCGTTTTAAAATGTCCTTATTTAACTTGGTACCGCATAAGCAGGTTAAGCGGGTAAAATATATACCTTCACCACTGTTTGACCATCATCTGCATAACACCCTCCAAACCATGAACCTAGTTTTATTTGTTTTTAACCTTCTTCCCCATCCTCATTTCTTCTTTTCTTCATCTACATCAACCGCACAAGACATTTGTTTCTGCACATACAAATTCTGCTTCTTCGCCCCCAAGCTTCTTTTTCGTCTCCATCTTTGCCATTGGTGAAGACATTTTAGGTATGGGCTTCTACTTCTTCTCCATCTCCACCATCTGTACATACGACAGTGGAGCCAGAATCGATGCTGAAAACATGTGTGGAGGTAATGTTTGTTATGTTCTCTCAAAAAAAAAAGCATGAAGATCTTGCACGGACATCATGCTCATAACCGATCAGTGAAATTTTAAAGTGAAATGAGTTTGTAGCATATCGGAGCTCATATGACAAAACAGAGCACCAGAGACTTCTCTCTCTCTCTCTCTCTCTCTCTCTCTCTCTCTCTCTCTCTCTCTCTCTCTCTCTCTCTCTCTCTCTCTCTCTCTCTCTCGTTGGAGTACCAATACCAAGATGTTTACACCCACCTACACCATTAATTTATCTCCATTTCTTTTCCATACGATACATTCAAAACCGACATCAAACGGAGATCCAAACAACATTTCTCCAGGATTGGATTGAACGCATATCTTATAACTCCGTTCCATTCTATTAATCTCTAATTAGATCTATTTACATATTTGTATGTTTAACAAATCATTGCCATAAACAATCACATGAATCTCATCTCCACTGCATTTGATAAGTTTTAATGGCTTTCTTTGAATTCCAATCAACAACAAGGCTAAATTCCAAACCGGTGAACCTCCATTGAGTCCCCTGGAACTCGCCATGAACATACATTTATCCCTCCCTATTCTTCCTTAACTTACCGGAGATATGAGACATAAAATGAAACATTACTTCCATCTATCTTCTCTATCTAGCTCTCCGACTCTCTAACGCTTTCTATCTCACTCTCGTTTTCAAGTTGGGGAGAAAAAGACACAAGACATGACTTTCTCTCTCTTACGTGGCATATTAAATCGGCTGTAGTCGGTTATGTGACTAAATAAACAGGTCAAGACTCACTTTGTTCCCTTATAATGCAAGAAAAAAACTTAAGGAGCCATTTAAACCATTTCGAGAAAGTTTGTTGGGTTAGAATGACATTAACCCTAATAAATAATATAAAATATTTGTATGTAAGACTATTTGGGTAATTTATATATATATATATATATATATATATATATATATATATATATATATATATATATATATATATATATGGGAGAGTTCATGCGAAAATGCAAATAATTTGCGAAAACGCAAAAACAAGAAAAACCTATGATATTGTGTCACCTCAACATTATATTTTGGAAAATAATTCATCCAAACTTTGAAATACATGATGATAATCGATGATAGATGAGAAATTGTTTCATATTAGCAAAGTATGATTTTTAATATTTTTATTATAAAAACATGAATTTAAAAATGATTAAGCACGTGAAAAAAAATAATTATTAAATCCGTCTTTAAATCTATATTATCATAACACTATCAAATGTAAACTTACTATCTTTAATTTATTGCTAATAAATTTATTATTTTATAGTACATATGTTTGATTTTTATCAGATAAAATCTGTTTTCGCGTTTTCGCAAGATATTTATGTTTTCGCATGAACCTACTTCTCTCTCTCTCTCTCTCTCTCTCTATATATATATATATATATATATATATATATATATTATATATATATATAAGGCACTATTAGGCACAACTTTCAATGTTATCTATTAGGCACTAAGTCCATAACTGTCAATGTTCATTTATAAGGCACTAAGTCCATAGCTGCCAGGGGTTTTAGAGTACATCTGGTGAACACGTAGTTCAAAAACACTTACAGGTCGCGAGCCTGCTAGCGTTTCACTAGATTGTCTAGAATAGTCCGTGGTTGTCATCTATATTTTGCTAGATGACTGAATCAGATTTAAAGTCAAGGCTTCTCATCATCTATATCATCTTTCTTCTCTCATCATCCATATCATCTTTCATCTACCCATATTTACCCAATATATTTAGAGGTATAAAAATACATATACAGTTTAAATCAAGTAAAATATGTATAAATCGTTCATCTAGCATAGATATCATGAACCCGGATAATAAGCACATATAGCATGTATTAATATTAAATACTTCGTATCTATGTATAAGATGAAAGTCATTATGCACTCACTTGTTAAAGTGACGACTTGAAATTCGGGTAGCGCTTCGCTTCTAGCAATTGTCTTTTCCTTTGACGTAACCTAGTATCATTATCACTAAGTTTTAGTCTAATATTTATTGCGACTAATTATTAGTCTAGATTCATCATCAACTCAAACTCTACTTCAAGATCTATCAAGTAAGGAACAACCAGGTAGAATCATATCGGAGGTAGGGTCCGTTTGGTATACGAAGTATACTGTTTGGAAATCCCACTTTAAACACCTCACTAAATCCAGACTAGACATCATCCCCATAAGTAGATCAATCAGTATAACGACTTGGAATCACTGATAAATCTTGTTTATAGGTTCATAATAATGATAATGAACTTAAACATAAGTTATACTTAAAGTACGGTAAGCATAACTCAACTTACAGGTGGTTTAGCAAGAAACCGAGCTCTGCGCGGGCAGAACTTCTAAGCCGAAGGCTCTACTTCTTGGGGCTTTTCGGCGCTCCAGGGCTTCGCTACTAACACCTCGGAAGTGCTAGAGAAAATCCTTGAGGCTTTGGGGGGGGGGGGAGAGAGAGAGAGAATTGGTTGAAGAGGTGTGAAGAATTGAGTGAAAATCGCCATCTATTTATAGGCTGCAGTAACCGAGTATGCGGGGCGTACGCAAAAGGTACAATGGGCGCACTCAGGCCACATGTCGCGATCTGGTGGCAAGCTGTGGGGAAGAAGGTGTGGTCTAGATCATGCCAAGTGTCACTCCGAGGTTAATCTAAAAATTAATTATCTTCTAAAATCCGTAACTTTTACATACGAGCTCCATTTTTATGTTCTTTATATCCACGCGTAGGTATCGACGTGATCTACAACTTTCGTTTAGACTCTGTCGGCTAATTTTGACTTTATTTTTAAAGTTATATTTTAACAGGCTTAGACAGTTAAAGTCCGTTAAAGATTCATAACTTTGTCATCTGATGTCCGTTTTCGACTGTCTTTATATCGTCGGGCTCCTATTAACGAGATCTTCAATTCTCGTTTAGGTTGTGTTGGCTAAAAATTGATTGATCTAAAATTCGATTTCCGAACTGTATACTGCTACGCTGAATCTTAGAAAAATCGTAACTTCCTCAAATGAAGTCAGATTTGGATGTTCTCTATATGCGTGCTCTTGGTTTAACATCTACTACAACTTTCTTTTAGTTTTCTAGGGCTAAAAAGTATTTTGTCAAAAATTTACTTTTTACGATACGCGAAGTCGTGCCGGTTTAATCGTGAAACTTCAACGGGTCATAACTTCTTCGTTAATAGTCGGATTTTAGCATTCTTTATATATACGGAATCCTTGTGATATATACTATAACTTTGGTTAAGATTGTTTATTCTAAATAATCTTCTATCAAAGTCATTTTAACGTTGATTATCTCTAAATTGACTAGCCCGAATCTGCGGGCGTTACAAAAACTTTCATTTTAAAACATTAAACATATGTGATTCTATGATAACATCTTAAAGACCAAACAAGAAATTTGTAACATCCAAATTTTCAGGTATAAGTCTTTGACCTTGCAACTTTGTGGTTTTGGAATTTCCTCGACGCCATGGCATGGTTGGACCGTTGCCACAACATGGTGATCATTTAAACACCACGACATGGTTTGATCTTTTCCATGACCTGGGGGCGGATGACACACAAAACCCTAGATCTCGGACTCTAAGTCCTATTAAAAGGATGTGATGGTTAGGGTTTCGTCTGACCTCAACCTCCATCCTCTAGAATAAGAAACCATAATCCTTGTGTGCCTTATGTTTGTGTTTCTTGGTGTTTTGAATCTTGGAGAGGCCATTGAAGAAGAAGTGGTGTTTTGGTGAACCCAAGAGCATCTAGCCACATAACTTGGCCTCTTGATCCATCTCTAGACTTTTGTAAGTCTTCTAAGCTCAACTTTGTGGTTGTTCTTTGTAAATCTTGAGATAATGAACTTATTTCTCCATGGTGTATTCTTATGAGGGGTTGGTGTTGATAAAGTTTGCAACTTTATCATTCATTGAGGTCCCAAGAGCTATATATGTCCTAAATCGGAATTGATTCACTTGTTTGATGCCATGCATGAGGTCTTGATCCCATTTTTACCATGTTTACCTAAGTTTGAAGGAGCACATGCATTGAATATGAGTGTCCATAAAGTTAAGATTTTTATGATCCCTTGTGATACAAAGAAGGCTTATGGAAAGTATAAAGGAATGACT